ACGCCAACAAATTTCGTATCATATGCACGCGAAAACTGCATATCATATGCACGCCAACAAATTTCGTATCATATGCACGCGAAAACTGCATATCATATGCACGCCAACAAATTTCGTATCATATGCACGCGAAAACTGCATATCATATGCACGCCAACAAATTTCGTATCATATGCACGCGAAAACTGCATATCATATGCACGCCAACAAATTTCGTATCATATGCACGCGAAAACTGCATATCATATGCACGCCAACAAATTTCGTATCATATGCACGCGAAAACTGCATATCATATGCACGCCAACAAATTTCGTATCATATGCACGCGAAAACTGCATATCATATGCACGCCAACAAATTTCGTATCATATGCACGCGAAAACTGCATATCATATGCACGCCAACAAATTTTGTATCATATGCACACGAAAACTGCGTACTATATGCACGCCAACAAATTTCGTATCATGGGCACGCGAAAACTGCGTATCATATGCACGCCAACAAATTTCGTATCATATGCACGCGAAAACTGCGTATTATATGCACGCCAACAAATTTCGTATCATATGCACGCGAAAACTGCATATCATATGCACGCCAACAAATTTCGTATCATATGCATGCGAAAACTGCGTATTATATGCACGCCAACAAATTTCGTATCATATGCACTCGAAAACTGCGTATCATATGCACGCCAACAAATTTCGTATCATATGCACGCGAAAACTGCGTATTATATGCACGCCAACAAATTTTGTATCATATGCACACGAAAACTGCGTATTATATGCACACCACACACATGCATATCATATGCACGCCAAAGTCCATTTTTGCGTATCAATACCATGAGTTTTCGTTTTTATTTGGCGTACTATTTATATGCATTTTCATGAGACCGGGCTCATTTATTTGGGTTAATTGTTCAATATATAATTATTTTGTTTTGTTTAGGCTATTGTGACTATACATGACATATCGTAATATTGAACACCCAACTGAGGTATACGAGTTTCACAGGTGCACTTGAAGACAGCATCTTTTACAAAACATCAGCCGTCTTGCTTCCTACAGCCTACATAGGCAGCTGCCTTCTATCACAGAACCTCATAACTGACTGATTCGGGACACTTTTTTGCACTGTAACAGAATGAGAATAGTTCTCACATAAGTCCAGGCTCCGTCTTCTTTCACACCATTCACACCGCCATCACACCGAGACGTACAGGATCAATTATCAATCACAGAGTGTCTCTTATCAGGCCACGTGATGCTCGTCTGTTTATTCTGTCTTCTGCAGCACTCTTAGTGGTCGGTTGTGGCACGGGTCAGGGCAAGAAAGAGACAGAGACCACACAGAGGAACATACTGCATACTGAGTCACGTGATCTGAATAAAACAGACCGTCTGCTTCAGACGCAGGTTTGTGCTTGCAGTATTTAACTGGGCAAATTAAACCAAATAGAGAAGAGTGAGGTAAGTTGTGCCAGTTTTTATACAACAATATTTAATAATTCTATATCTTAGCCAAAGTCCTATTTTGCTGCGTATTATTCACTTTGTATTATAGATTCTCATAAGCAATTACCTGCTTTTCTATCACACCCTCAGTGTAAAAAATATAGAAACTGCCAAGTTGTCAAGTTGGGTTTCAGTCCAGCAATGCTTATAGTGTTACATGCCACTGCAGCCTATATTAAAACATCTTTCTACTGATTTTCAAAGTCAGATACTTTATTGCTTTTCTTCCCTTCAGCGGCAACACACAGGCAGTTTTACTTTTTTACTTTTATTACCTTGAAATCCTCTTATAATTTATCCAAGCTGTCAGTGCTTTCTTACCACATCTCTTCCCCTCATTTCAGAAACACCCTGAAGTCTACTATCACCCATGTCACGACACATACACACAGCCCAATCCTTAAAGAGCTCCAGTTTAAACAATAGAGCACACTCTCATTCCAGAGAGCCATGCACAGCTGGAGTCAGTCCTGTCATCAGCGCGTGAATGAACAGACTGCAGTGAATGAGATGGATTGATCATGCCACCGCCTTTTGACCACACTCTTAAAGATAAAGCTTCCAAACAGCGATGACGCCATAGAAGAACCATTTCGAGTTTCTTAAAGAACCTTTAAATGAGCAGTTCTTACAGGAACCTTGAGAAGAACACTTTAATCATCTAAAGAACCTTTTGTGCATTGGAAAAGCTCGATGGATTCTCTATGGAACCAGAGATATTTTTTAACAGTGGCAGTGAATAGCTCAGTCACGTCTTTCTTTACCTTGTATCACCATGTTTCCTCCTGACAAGCAAATATAGGATAGTTAATTATTCTATTTCCGTGTTTGTTAGTATAACAATGAAGTGTAGCATGTCATAATGACATGACTGATAAAAAAGCAATACATGATTGTGATTATGAGTCATAATGCCCAGTTTTAATCTCTACAGAGCTCTACAGTGCTTACGCTTGCACTAGTATGCATTCATTAAGAATGAAGGCCGTGGCTTATGATGTAGCACCACAGCCTTGGTCAGAAGGTTAGCAGTTCTCCAAGGCACTCTTTGACTGCCAATATGAACCAGAGCTATAACCACAAGACATTCCCCTCACACAAGGCATTTATATTTGTGATCAATGGATACAGGCTTTTGATGGACTGATCTTGATCCCTGAAAAATGAAAATGTGCTGAATATGCCCTCATGCCATCCAAGATGTAGATGAGTTTGTTTCTTCATCAGATAAATGTAGCATTCCATCACTTGCTCAGAATGGGTGCCGTCAGAATGAGAGTCCAAACAGCTGATATAAACATCACAATAATCCACACCACTCCAGTACATCAGTCAACATCTTGTGAAGCAAAAATCTGTGTGTTTGTAAGAAGCAAATCCATCATTAATGTGTTTTAACTTCAAACTATTGCTAATGGCTAAAATATGAGCCCATAATCCACGATATTGCTTTCCCCAGTGTAAAAATCTCCTGTTGTCCCTCACATTTAAATCCACCCACATATTTTTTTAGAGCTGTTTTGGACTGTTTTTGGCTTGTAAACGTTGCTTAATCTGTGCATTTCTCTCCTCGACTTTTTCACTGGAGTAAGTGTTATTAGGGATTATGGATTTGTATTTTAGCTGAAAGCAATGCTTTGAAGTTAAAAATGTCTTAATGATGGATGTGTTTCTTACAAACATGCAGCTTTTGGCTTCACAAGACATTACCTGATGGCCTGGACTGGAGTGGATTACTTGTGGATTACTGTGATGTTTTTATCAGCTGTTTGGACTCTCATTCTGACGGCACCCATTCACTGCAGAGGATCCATTGCTGAGCAAGTGATGCAATGCTACATTTCTCCAAATCGGATGAAGAAACTAACTCGATTTTCAGCAAATATTCATTTTAAGCGAACCATTCCCTTAAAGGTCCCCTGAAATGCTTAGAAACACGCAGCGTTACTCTAAGTGTTGACGTCATTTTAACTGAAACAGAAAGACAGGGCGGGACATATCAAGCAGCCACGCCCCTTTTTAAAATAGCCAATAGCGTTCGCTTAGATCACAGCTTGGGCCAGAGCCGTTGAGCTCCGTAAAGCCACATTTGACAGCCACAATCTCATCCATATTGCTATAAAATATAGCATTCTGTGTAGAATTCAAATAGCTCCGATACATTTTGTGGTCTGCGCTGACTCACGCATGTGATCCGCTCCGTGCTATCGTGTCTGGACCGGAGCAGAGTGTGTGTGCCAGGGACACAGAACGAAACCAGACTTCTTTTCTTCCTCAATGGAAAGCATATTTACACTGTTTGAATCGTTCCCTGTCCCCTATATAGTGCACTACGTGCCATTCACTGCACAGAAAATACTAATTCTGTGGACAAGTGACCGATTTCAGCCGCAGCTTCAGCATTTATTTTATAGTGTAGGGGACAGGCGCTTCAGATTCTAGAGAGCATTTGATTGGACAGAAAGTTTGACGAGAAGCTGAAGTGCGATGTGACGTCAAAAAAATCGTTGAGCCGTTTTGTGACGAACTGCAAGCTTTGAATGCTTATATCTTCTAAATGCGACTTTTGTCACTGTTTTGGAGCACACTGCCTTATAGATAACCTTAAGACTAACATATTGATACTAACACCCAAAAAACTTTAATTTTGATTTCATGGGGACTTTAACTTGGTTCCTTTAAAAGTACAGTAGATGGTGAAACGGTTTCTTCCACCACAATAGTTATTGTCCTTTCAGCCAGTCTGTGGGACTCATTCTGTATTACTAAATAGAAGACAAGGAGGTCAACTTTAAAGAGTTTTTTTTAGCTAATATTTCAGCACCGGCTTCTGAAATCCACAGTTCAAAGCCAGAATCAAAGTGCAGGATTTGTAGCAGACAGGTTTCATGGGGACTTTAACTTGGTTCCTTTAAAAGTACAGTAGATGGTGAAACGGTTTCTTCCACCACAATAGTGATTGTCCTTTCAGCCAGTCTGTGGGACTCATTCTGTATTACTAAATAGAAGGCAAGGAGGTCAACTTTAAAGAGTTTTTTTAAGCTAATATTTCAGCACCGGCTTCTGAAATCCACAGTTCAAAGCCAGAATCAAAGTGCAGGATTTGTAGCAGACAGTTTGATAGCCTCTCTGACCCTACGGCTGTGTCTCAAAACATACTGAACTGCCTATCTAGCGTTTTGAGGGGCACAATGTGGACACTCATATGATACAACCTATGTAGGCAGCTTACTAGGTTTTGAGACAGAGCTCTCTCTCTCTCTCTCTCTCTCTCTCTCTGTGTGCTCAGAGTTTGAGCTTCACTCAATGAAATCTGACTCTTCATTCACTCGTGTTCTTGCCCTCGGAGGGAACAAATGTCAATACGAGATAATGGAGCAGATGGAGAACTTTCATTAGTGCTTTAATTTCGTCTCAAGCGTCCTCTGACGTCCTGATTGAGAGTTTGACACTTGGCGTTGCGGCGAGCGCGGCTGCTCTGCGTGCTCATCTCGTTTTTAACCATTTTAAGAGTCTTTAACACGCTGAATTGATATGTGCAGGACGGCTTTTCACTGTCGGTAACCTCAGAATATAACAGAGACAGTTTCGCGTCATTTCGAGCCAGTTCTCTTCAGAAGCGCGCAGAGATGGATCTAATGGGACTCTACCTGCTCCAGCTCAGCTTCGCCGGTAGGTGATGTGCGGCGTGCGCGTTTCATCTCCTCCGCTCACTGACATCAAAGTTCCGCAAAACACAAAGCTGATACAATGCTGAGAGTTTCTTTCATTATTGGCTGTGTGCGCTTAGCGTTCAGAACCGGCTTTCTATAGACTTTTGTCTTGGTTAATAAGAACGGATCGAACTAAAGAAATGTAAGCACGATAACCTGCTTTCTTCTCATTTGGATTTATGAATCCATGTATTTTGCGTTATTAGTCAGCTAATGAGGTGTTTGCTCAGGTGTGAAAGGTTACTGCTTTCATTGACATTTGTTCTAACAGTCAATTACTTTTGGTAAAATCATTTATAAAACGGCTATATCAATTTTAACCCACTAAACTTTTAATTGCTTCCTTAAATATAAAGGGGTGCCAAACTTACAACCTGTGATGAGCTCATTGCACTTTTTGAATGTAGTCACTTGTGTGGGAACATATATATCCATGTAAACTCTGTTCCTTTATAAAGGATACAATGTGTTGTCACTGACCTGAAATTTGTAGCCTCAGTTGATTGAAAAGCCTGTGCATTTTAGCAGACTGGATTTGTGCAGGATGTCTCAGTGTTGCTGCTAATATAATTCGATTTTCAGGTAGACTGTCTTTTGTGTGTGTGTTGTGTATGAATCAGAGGATGTATGCATGCATCATAACAAGTGCATTTGCATGTTTTGAAAATGGATTCACAGATGAAAGCTTTGAAAAATGAATTCACAAATGAAACCGAGAAACAAAGAAACATAACCATAGCTTTGAAACATATTTTTAATTTTGAAGCATATTATTGTGCATTAATATGGCAGTGTGAAAACTTCAGTCATCTAAAAAATCAGGGCTTTTTCTGACTGGACCCAAGGCTGTAAGCCTGATTGCTGATCATTTGCTGATTGATAGTCATTGATTTAAGAGTTAATGTGTATAATTTTATTTCATTTTACTTTCACCTTTTGGTTTGTCTGGTAAGGCAATCAATTATTCAATATTCCTCTGTAAACAGAACAAAATCTCTTGAACAGCAAAACACACAAAGCTGTTGTTGAATTATCTGAAACAACAAGCAGTAAAAAGATTGATTAAGAAAATGTGTTAAAATCATCCTTACCTTACTCAATTCAAATATAGCTTCCCTACACTGATGCACCTGTTTTTTATGCCTTGGCTCTGAATGTGGTTTTCCTATTTATTTTCACTCTATAGATAATTCTTCAGTAAAGCATTTTAAACCTTGAACCAAACCAGCCAGCTCTGAATCACATCATAACTTTTGATTCTAAACACATTTATTTGAATATCAGGAAAAAACACAAAGGTATAATGCTGTTTATGTAACACGATTGACCTGCTCATCACTATGAATTTTAAGTTATATGGAAGTTTAAACATGCAACTGTTATGCTCTTTTCTTCCGACATTTCTCCAAACTCCTTTTTTTTATTTTCCATAGTTATGTTCCATTGTTATGTGAGCTTGAGTGAAGTCCATATCTGATTCCCTCCATTATGACCATCAATCAAGCCCTTTTTCAAGCCCCACATATACATTCTGTGAACCTGTGAATATAGGGCTCAGCTCCAGTTCTGCAGGTAATTCCACTGTCACTCAAGGGGACCGAAAAGCAGGCAGTTTGTCAGCGATTAGCCAAGGTAAAGATCGATTCATGCTCTGAGAGCTTGTAAATTAGGAACTCTATCAATGTCCATTAGCTCAAGCCATGACTGACATATGCTAATTGTGACCTTGTTATTACAAGAATAATATCATTATCAGTATTGACATGGACTAACACTACAATTGGTCATTTATGGTTACGGTATTCAGAGCATTTTACTTCATAGCTCAGGCTTCAGCTGAAATATGCAGTTCAAAGCCATAATCAAACTGTAGAATTGTAGCCGACAGCTTGAAGATCAGCCTCTCTCCAGCAGCCGACTCAGTGTTTCTCACTGTTATGCTGGACAGTCTGTCTCTCTCTCACTGATGCCACACGCATAATCTGCACTCAGAGAAATATGATTCTTAATAAAGTAGCTTGTATAAACTTTTATGAAAGCCATAATTAATGAAAAAGTGTCATTTAAACATACATTAGTCAAACTTAATTAAGATTTTTCACATTATGATGATAGAAACTGAGTCATGGTCACTGTCAAATGTAAGTGTCAAATGGTCATTTTTTCTGTAGCTAAAATATTTATAGAAGCTTATATATCCTATAGAGAAATATCCAATCGATGTGCTATAGCATGCATTAGTGCCTGCCCTTTTTTTTTTTTTTTTAGCTGTCTTGGGTCTAGAAGTATTTTTTCCCTGATTTTCCTATAAGGAAAAAGTAATTTATTAGTCTTTGTTAAAGCATTATAAGCCATGAAATAAACCAACCAGCTTTGAGGTGAACCAAGAAAGTTACAGAAAGAAAGGTACAATACAAATTACATGATCAAAATAAAAATTATGGAGAAATATCTATCTATCGTTGTTTTCTGATTGGCTGAGAGGTCTTTTACAGTTTGTATCACTCCGCTGGCAGATTTCTCACAACGAGTGTCATGGCGGACACCCAAATTTTCAAGTATTCAATTAATAATAGTATTTGGTATTAAGAAACCCGATATCAGTGTGTGTGTGTTAGTGATGCTGATTTTAGATACATTATTCCGCCATTAGATGGCAACAAGAGACAGTGAGTCAGCAGTAAAGACTTTTATATTGAAAGATACCTTTACCTTGTAAGACGCAGTTAACAAATGCACTGAGCAGCGCTGTCATCGGAAATCACCCTTAACAGATGAAAGGATAGTACGGCAAAGATATCGCTTTCCTCAGTGGACATTCAAACTAATGTTTTATTGTGAATATGAGATTGCGCTGAAGATGCTGTATCAGATGCAGGTAATCACACTTGCTCACTCCATGTCTCTCATTATATCCTACTTTACTCTACATAATACAGTGATCTTTCAATGAAACAACTCAACATTCCTTTGTTACTACATAGTTCTAAAGTGATGTTTTCAAATTTGTAACAGAGGCTTGAGCTCATCTGTTGACTTGAGATTCAAATCTGTGGCGGAAGGAAACAGTGCTGTAACTTTGTTTAAAAAAAGTGGGTAAGACTAGTATTGATATTAATTTAATCGTTTGTTCTTTGATTTACATCAGTGAGAGACTGCAGCAGGTTTCACTTTAAAAGCAGTACTGTCTCTTTAACATGATGTGGGTCTGACAGACATCCGGTTTTCTCCCAACTCTTTCCGGTCATTTAATTTAATTTAAGTCTGTGTTTATGTGGTCACAAGTGTGCTTCCCACCCTAAAGAACGTTTTTAAAAGTATTTATTTATTATTCTTATTCTTATTCTTATTCTTATTCTTATTCTTATTCTCATTCTCATTATCATTCTCATTATTATTATTATTATTTGAACAGTGTAGGGAGACATGGAAGTGGATATTCCCTGCAACATCCACTCCCATTAAGGCCATGTCCACATGTACACGGGTATTTTTATAAACGGAGTTCTTTATTAAAAAGAGTTTTTCCTTCCGTTTTAAAATAAATCTCCGTCCACATGAAAATGCAAACACATGCTATGAAGCACTGTCAAGAGCATGCCAAAGCAACCGGTGGCGATATAATCTCAACCATAAAGCCATGTTGGTCAATCAGAAGCCTGAAAAAGTCTCCAGTAGGTGGAGATAACAGCGCAGGTGCCGACGTCACAAGCCAAAAACTCCCGTTTCGCGGTCTACACGATAACACTGCAACCGGAGTTTTCGAAAATCTTCACCCTGGCAGGCGTTTTCAAAAATTTTCGTTTTCAGTGAACTGGTGCTGCATTTGTGTGTGGACGAACGGTCTAAACGTGTAGAAAAAGCTGCGGTTTTAAACCTGTTCGTGTGGACAGGGCCTAAGTTCCCCTGGTAGTCTTTTGGCAGATTTGCTTGCTGTGACTCTGATTGGTTGATTTTTTTTCCCTGTAGAGCAACATGGGTAATGTAGATTTCCACCATGAATGCAGCTGTTAAACACAAGGCATATGCATTTCTTATCAGAAGTGGCGTAGTACTGTACTTCACTTAAGTTGAAAACATATTGATTTGTTGCTTACAAAACAGTATACCATCACTTAACAACCTTACATGCCATGGTAGTTCTGATATTAGTCATTTGCCATCACTAAACTATCAAACAATATGCCTTAATATGTCATTGCTGATTAGAATTCAGAGCAGTTGGACTTGAGAAATCTGAATTGAATCTCCGGCTGGTTGCAGTGTTAATGTAGGAAGTCTAAAGGGATACGGTGATACAGCTGTTGTATGATAGCGAAATTGCATTGGTAGTGATGGTAGAGCATGGTATGCATTGATTTGATCATTTTATTATTGATTTTATCTACATGACAAATGTGTAGACCATTTAATGTGACAGAATAATGTTACAAACGGCACAGAACTTGCACAGCGCAGGCTTCTCTAGAGTTGTTATTTATTTATTTATTTTTATTTGGTTACAATATTGCATATGAAGTTAACTGTCATTGGTGGCGAAAAAGCTGTTCCAAGTTGAAACTTCAGGAAATTACACTGAATATTAATGGTTCATTTTCTCTGGTGAATCCATGGATGGCCTTGAAGTGTGATATCTCTGAAAATTAGTAATTATTTAAAAGTAGACTTTGAGCAAACCCTTAACCCTTATTAAACTGGCACGTGTGATGCAGATATGAATGATACCTCAAATTGTGTAGCTTGTTGAGGAGAAGCATGCTATTTCTTTTCCATGTAATGAAAATTACACCTGATGGAAGTTAAAATGGACCAAAAAAAAAATCCAACCCCCCCAAACAACATCCCAAACACACTCTAGCATTGTGGCTGCAACTTTGACTTACTCACATTGCCTGCAGAAACTGTAAAAATCTATTGATGGCTTTGTGATTTATCCATATCCATATAATATAGATCTAT